GTCATACGCGCACTAAAGCGAGCTTGAAAGGAAACTTATTCTTTGAAGGTACAAAATTTTAAATCACAATAGACAAAGGTTCGTATGGCAGGCATTATGTAGATGCAACGAGCTCAATATTGAATAAGCGACAACTGAAAGAGTTTCAAAATGAGAGGTGTCGGAAAATAGACGGTTCATAAAAGAAAAAAGAACTGGACCAAACTTTACCTTTCTGCGACGAAACGAGCGAGTTGGGGAACAAAAACTATTAATGTAGAGGCTCTCACGGCCCGCTGAGTTGTCGGTGCGTTTCGTTTGATAATTTCCGTGTACAGCGAGCTTTAATCGAATGTACCGCCACCCCTCCCGCAGCTTCCCCTCTGCCCGCGAGCGCAATAAAATTGTTCATCTCGATTATCGTGGGCAATGGGAAGATTGCGCGATTGGGGAACGACACTGCTCTGTAAACAAAACATGACTAAGAATTTAAAATCGCGTGATAAATTGATTGCAATACGTCCATTGACGTAACTAATGTGTACGGTGTACCAATATGAATCGCAATTAGTCATACTAATAACTGTTACTTATTTATCTATTTAAATAAAATCGGTATGTACTCGTATTTGTCCTCTATGCATTCCGATTTTCTTGTTATTTTCTATCGAGGCTTCCTGCCTCAAAAAGAAATATTTATTTATACGGTAGGTACAGTACACGTGCAAAGCTGGGCCTTGACGACAGAAATATACTCGTTAGGTATATCTCTAGACTTTTAAGGATAACTTCTTGGATTTGGTTTATTGACGCCATAGAAAACGAATCTTGGTAGTTACGTTTTTTCAGATAGATCTTGATTCGGAATTGATTGCTGATAATGATTTATTTATTTAGTTTACAGCAAGAGCCAAAATACTTACATTCTAGGATACAAAAAAAAACTTAAACCATATTACAATATTATTTACTTAGATAGTTCATTTATTATTGATATTTATAATTAAAAACTTATACATTAATTTCCGTATGACATACGATTTATCGTGGAATACATCTAATTCTGGTTGCTGAGCTATCACCGGGTTCAAGAAAGCCATCGCTCTTGCCGTTGTATGATGATAGATAGGCAGTCGTTGGTTATTGGTGATAGAGACCTCGTAGTTATTTTTTAAGAAGGCTTGATAAATGCTCCTTAACATTATTAGACATGTTGCGTTGCGCATATTCGCTTTATTGTTTTCTGTTGCATAATGATAAATATTTGTGTTTATAGAAATAAGTTGTCCTACTATGAGAATTATGTTTTTGAGCTCCTCTTACCTGCAATACAGGATTGTGCTAGTGCAGGCATCTAACTATGTGAGATGAGATGAGAGATACGTAGATACCTGCTTAAGATATAATTTTGTGTTTTGCATTTTTGTTATTATGAATAAAAAGTTTAATTATTACCTATTATTAGATATTATTTTTATTTACTAACTTATAATGATAACGCGAGACGTCTCTATAAGAGGCTTCATAGCAGTCTCCGTATCTTCCATGATGTCTTTTTGAACCGCAAAAAATTCCCAATTGTTTTGTGTTTAAATATTTTGGTGGTTGATAAATTGATAAACAATAAAATGGAGAGGTCTTACCTGAATCTCCGGTTACTGGTTAGTATTACAATATTGTGGTAGGTCGAATCTTAGGTCTTCTTAATTTTTCGTCCAATTTGCTCCACGATGTCACTTGGTTCGATCGATACTAGTAAAATGCTGATATTAGAAAAACAGTAAATGGGCTAGATGGAACCATTTCATGGCTACGTAAATGCTAAATTCAGTGTGGTTCTAACAATGGCGTATTGGTTTGATATAATGATGATGATTAATGGTATGAGCTAATGCAGATCAGCTATTGTTCACTAGTAAACTAAGTTTTAATGAAGGTATGTTCCTAATAATTTCAATTATAAGAAGTGGTAAGTTTTTTATGAGAGTGCGAAACAGTTGACTGCGCGCACGCTTGACTTTGTACAACAGTTGAAGAAAGAGTTGACTTTCCGCAAATGGGTAGGACTCTCCCTTTTCATTTGACGGCAGTTCGGTGATTGTGAAAACAAACCAATTTTCTCTCATTGTTATACGTAGGTACTTTAATTTCGTATTTACCTAGTCTTAAAAGAGAACTGCCTCGTTGGCCGAGTGGTCGCAAGTGCGACTGCCGGGCAAGGGGTCTCGGGTTCGATTCCCGGGTCGGGCAAAGTATTACTGGGTTTTTAAAAAATTCTCAGTAGTAGCACGAAGTCTGGAATTGTGCCCGGTATATGGCAATAGGCTCACCCCCTATTACATGGGACTCATAACATAAATAGTGAAAAGTGGGTGTTACATTGTACAGTGGCATAATGTGCACCTCTGCCTACCCCTTCGGGGATAAAAGGCGTGATGTTATGTTATGTTATGTGTTAAAAGAGAAGGCAAGGCATTGTGAATGAGAACCCCTTTTCGACTGCAAGGGCTCGGTAACCCTCGGTAAACGTAACAAAATCGGAAAAGTTATGTCCATGTATCCATTCATTTTGGGTCTGGGCCTCTGGGCATCAAGTATTGATATGTAAAATTTATGTTTGTAAACGTTCACTGTTTACTGGATAAATGACAAGAAGCTATTGAACTATAGAACGAGATAACTACAGAGGCTTCGTATGAAAAGATAAGTAGACATGGGATTTTTTTTTAAAGGGCGAAATTCATCGAATGACTGCTCCCGCCTGGGTGTGGCGGGAGGGAGTGTCAGTCTCTTACTGACTAAAAACCACCTCGTTCCTTCTCCTGCACGTCGAGCCGGAGCCCCGGTTACCCGTTAGGTTCCATTTCAATTTACATATTATGTACGCCGTACTGCGTAAACCATAACAGCAAGTGAAACGAAAGAATCGCAGACTTCATCAGGAATCCAATTTTAGGATAAACCTAAACGTATTTTGTATATTCGCTGTGATACAATAAAACAATTAAATCTAGTCAGGTCGACATCGAAATTAAGCCCTGAGGGTGTTCCGCATCCGTCGTAATAAAACACATGCAAAGTTTTTCTTTGCTGAGCGTCGAGTGGCCGCAGCAAACGGAAACGAAGCAACAGGCTTGATTAAAACACGTGTTTACAGAACGCACACGAGCCCGAACAAACGCAATAATACGAGGGAGCCGGTCGCGTCGGTCGTATCGTGCGCACTACCTGCACCGCCTGTTTAGTTAGACGTTTCCTATGCTCTAATCATGCCTTTGGGAACAGGAAAGTACCAATATTTTGTTTTTGTATTATCTAAAGCCTATAACATTCTTTAAGACTGACACGGATTGAAATATGATAGAAGGTATCTAAGGTTAACATCATAGCCTGTCTTAATTTTATTATGAACGTAATACCTTTTGGCATCATAATTAATTTGCTTTCTATTAGCATAACTGATTATCTGTCTAGGTAGGTACCTAATCCCTAGATCCCTAGAATCTAAGTACCTACTAGAAGATTTTGGGCTTAACTAATGCCACTGTAGACAACATAGGTACCGTTATTTCTATGCACAAAGTTAAGCTTTCATTGCCCTCCCTAGATACCTATGAGAATAAATCTAAGTTAACAACACAAGCAAGACCATCACACATTAACAGCCTGTAAGTGGCCACTGCTGACCAACGGCCTCTTTTCGTACGGAGGTTTGAACCAGCAAGACCATAAATAATAAGTATTATTTTCAGCACAGATTATCAGCTTGGAATAGAAATGAAATTGAGATAAACAACCTTTGATTACTGCTCGATTCACAATAAAAATCAGGGTGAAATAACCTAGCCGGCGTCACCCACCATACGATGCAATATTCCTAGTTCACGTCACAGACTTGCAGTAACATATAACTCAGCGCATTTTTACGTCTGTAAATTATAGTTTTACGATCGAAAATCATTTTTATGTTTTTGGAGGAATTTAATATCACGCCAGCTATGCTCGGCACATTCGCTCTTTTATTGAGCTGTAATTTTATTGTTTTCTCAATTTTTATTAACTATCAACCACCTACTTAGGTTTCTGTTATAGGAGATCAATAATATTTTACTTCCGTGAATGGATATTAAATCTCTATGAACATTTTATTACAAAAGGTACACCATCTTATTATAAAAAAGAACTTAAAAAACTAATTGCTTTAGAGATAACTTACAAAGAAAATTGTTTTAAACCAGAAAATTACCTATTTATGAACGTTGAATGCACACTCGCATCTTTTATAAAATTCTTCAAAGGAGTTAGTTTTTAAAGCTAAGCGGTTAATTCTCTTTATGAAAACAAACAGCGCCTTGTACCTTCACTGCCTGACTAAAAACAAGAGTTTCTAACTCTTCTTATGATTCAATTAACTTTAACCCATTTCTGTAAGCTTATGTTTATAGCAGTATTTTTTCTATCATGTATAATTTGGAAATTAATTCAAAATTATAAACTCTTACGAAACACTAAAGCTGAATTCGAAATAAAGTCCCTACGAGGTACACAACTTTCGGTGTATAAGTACCAGTTTATACTTAACAAAGAATCTTCAAACACTGATATTATGTGAGTCTAGATTCTAGATTTTTTTTTATTATACACATGTATATTTAGATTCTAGATAATATAAAAATACCAACTTAACTTTCAAGTATTTTTTCATACTTTTTTTACTCGAAAGTTTTTTATTGCCTGGGTACTTATCCACATCGATTAGGCATGCCCATTGATACAGCCATTATGCTAACTTAAACATGGTAACCATCCTCAAAGGTTACTTGAGGGCATGGCACAGTGCATAGAGGAAAGCTCATTATTTTGGTGGTTACTCGGCAACCGTCAATAGGTGTATCTTAGCAACAAAACAGTCTATCGTCATTGTTTGTTATGTCTAGTCTTGTCCATTTTTTTAGACAGTTGTAGTCTTAGCTTTACCTTTTACTTAGTGACTAAAGCGAAATAGATTATAATTTGCTAAAATGAAGAAATTGGACGTGCATAAATTATTAGGAATCTCCCCCAATTCTCAAAGTGTGACAGGAGTAGCCGCATGCCAGTGCGATTTAGGTCGTGAGAAACTGTTAACTGCCCCACCTTACAAAACCACACCGTCTGGCGATGAGACCAAATCTCGATACCCGACGGCACCGTCAAAAAGAGAAGCTGATCAGTTGATATGCCCCATAAGTCACATACTAGTGACTTTCAAGTCGCCTCTAAACCCCAATGATGTATTTAGTAAAGTCTTCCCAGCATCGACACCAGTAAAGTTCGTTAAACGTAAACTAGCAAAATTACTGGGTGTGTCAAACAGTAACCTTATACTAACTAAGAATAGAAATGTATTGAAGGAGACAAGTATCTTGTCACAACTTAAGGCTGATCCACTTGGTAACCTTGCTGTCGACGTGTTTACAAAGGATTCAGAGGACTTTTCTCTGTCGTCAATACCCAAAGAATCGTACGTCCACGAACTACTACATGCAGTTCTTCCGAAAAAGAAAGATATGCCATTTATCGCAATCAAATTCAAGGTACCACATCAGAATGCCACTTTTACTCGTTCCTATCATTCTATAATGAAAGTTCACGAAATAAAGAAAAATTTAGGAGAGCTCTTTCAAATAAATCCTGACGTTTTGGTGTTTTTACGAGGAGATAATCCACTAAAAGATCGTATGGCTCTTATGGATCTTGATTACGACAAATATGGAATAGCAGAGATTGAACTGCTTACGACAAATGATGCAATATTGAATTTCGATAAACTATACAAAGAGGTACCAGTAAATGACGTTTTAAGTGTGATGGTGCCGTTCGGAAGAACAATAAAGCAGGTTAACGTTGAAATATTTTCTGAACCAATGAGGAAACCTTTCATAGGAGGATATAAGAATGTGCACACAGGTATCTGTATTTGGAATACTTCGCTTCTGCTAGCATGTAGTCCGCGACGGGCCCGTCGCCGACGCCGGCCCGCTATAACGTAGTTTCAGGCTTTAGTGTTTTATAAATAAGTATCTCTGAGCGCCAAGCAGCGATTTCTACATACCTACTTAATATGATGATTAATGAATGATAAAATATAAATTGGCGGTTATTATTAGGCCTTGGATATGACTTACCTATGATTTCATTTCTTTTAAATATGGGGTCGGTCTAAATTGGTTTGTCCTGTATAAATAAATTATTATATTAATAAACACAACTATCTAAATAAGGGTTCTAATATCTTCACAGGTACCGTATACCACCATGCATATACTCAAACACCGCAAAAACCGGAGAAATTACGTCCAGAAGAGAAGAACTGTCGAGACACACAGACAGCAGAAGAAAAGGAAAAACTTTATGTACGTAACTATCTGTACCTGTACAATGTACATTTATCGCCCTTTTTCCGCACTATATTTATTTTGAAAAATATATGGACATTAGAAATTACTTAACACATGTACCTATTTTTAGGTAGTTAGATAAAGATATATTTATTTCTAAGTAGGTACATAGTATGGGTACACTGAGGTCTTACATTAAACACAGAATCACATATTATACTACTTACCATTTCTGGTGTAGAAATATTAAATAAGCTAACCCCATGCAAATCTTAGACATTGCAATAATTTTCATTTGATAGTTGGTAAGTTATAGTACCTACGCATATCTGAAACCTTCATGGTATTAGAAATGGTAGGTACTATCTTCTCTCTTACTTAAATAATAAAATCATAGGTAATCCTACTAATACTATAAAACCTTATAATTACTCATTTGCGTCAAAACGGCTGAAGGGATCGGGATGAAATTTGTGACAAGGGTAGATTATGCTATAGAATAACAGGCAGAAGGTAGTTTTATTTAAATTTAAAAAAAGTTATTCAGGTTCCTAGGCCTTACTAAAATTGTTTAATTTTTCAGGATACAAATTACAGTCGTGCAACACAAATGAACAGCGTTCACGCATATATTCCGAACGTGACTGATAGAATAGTGGTCCCGAAACCCTACGAGACCTATGAAGAGATGGTCATCAGATTAAACCACGGTCACTATGCGTCGATAATACAAAGGGCTTTCAAACGACATCAGTTTCGGCAATTTGTTAAAAAATGGCTAGCTGAATGCAAGTTTGTATCGTATTTATTAAGACATAGAGCCTGTTTCACAATGTATGATAGTCTTAACTGGTGGATAGTTGGACTTAGTATCCATAAAAATGTGACGAGAAGAGTCGCTAATTCAAAAATTGTGAAACATGCCTATAAAAACTTATATTTTTCTTTATGTAGATAGGTCTAGATTTATTTTACGTGTGTATGTGAAAGTTTAGGGGTAGTGTTGGACTAACTGACCCCAGGTGGTTCTGGGGTCTGAGAGTGAGATTAGGTAGAGTAAGTCACGAAGCTTCCTAGACTGATCGGAATGGTCACAGCAAAGAGGCTTAATCGTCCCCAGACCGACCCTGTTTATGCGTATTTTAAAATCTAAAAAAAACTGGTATTGTGTATTAAATACTGCAAAAAAAAACTAATTAAATTCTTTTGGTCTTTTTATAGAGAAAGAATAGAGAGAATGAAAGAGGAAGACAGATTGGAGAAAGAGGCTATGGAAAGACGTTTACGGCGGGATCTTATCACCAAGACATTTCCGAAAACTCGGGAAGATTTTGATCAATTATATGCAATGGTGAGTAGTGATGTAGATAATTCATATTCACGTATTCATGGCGACTGGGCTTCATCTAGTTGTACAGTCTATTTTGTGCCTTTAGGCTTAATTCATTGTCTCCTGCAGTAATTCACCGAGGGAAGTGGAAACTATCGTTTTTTTCTTTTCCTTTTATAATAATTATCTTCTGATGCACTTCGTTGCGGGAACCAAGACAGTTATTCATGTCCCTAGGACGCGCCGGACTTCAGTGTTCCGGTGTTTTCGTGGTTGTATCTACTGTAGAAGCCAGGAGGCTTACAGAAGTTGCAGCGGTTTTGGGAGGTAGTGGCGGGCTTATCCCATAAAAAAGTATGTATTCATGTATATATAGATTAGTTAGAGTACTTACCAAACTTGATTAAATTAACAGCAAAAACTTTATTATATTTATTTTTATATTATGTTACGTCCCAAAACATAAAGTTAAATAGGTCCGTAGGTACTTCCCTTCTTTACTTGCTGGGAGAGTTTTCTTAGTTCTTCAACACAGTCGCTCGTAGTGTAGGATATCTTCTTGAGAGCCATCTAGGTACATATAATTCTTATTATTTATCTAAAACAGGAGCCTAAAGCAAAGGTATTTCAATACTAAAAAGATTTTCTTTTTTTTTCAGGTTGACCGATGGAAACATGCTGAAATAGCACGAATATCACAGTTACACTCTAAAGGCCCAAAAATAGCAGAATTTTCATTACTTCTCGATAAAGAAGTGGAACTACTGAGATGCATTGAAGATTACAGAGTAAAAGTAAGAGAGGATAGTCGAAAGATAAAAGAAAAAAGATTTTTAGAAGAAATATCGAAGCCTGTTGCGTGGTATGGTCGCAGCGGAAAATTAATTACTATGGAAACAGTTGAATCTCAGAAAGCTAAAAAAATTAAAGAGCTTTATAATTCGTTTATACGCAACGATATGGAAACTAAAGAGCGCTTGGAACTTTTGGTTGATTTTAAATTCGCATTGCAAGAATTTCGTCATCCTTTGGCTGAAGAAGTAATTACTCTACTGGATCAAGAAGCCGACCTCCTAGTGAGGCGATATAACGCACATCAACTCGAATTTCTAAGACGAAGAACTGCTGGTTACGTCTTTCGTTTAATACAAACGTCTGAACTAAATTCTGGCGTTACTAAGCACAAAGACATAAGAGATTATCAAAAAATGCAGAATGGAAATCTTTACTTCTGCGAATTATGCCATCAGGTCAAACCTTACACTGATTTCCCATTGAATACGAGAATGAGCGGCTGTTTAATTTGCAAATCATGTTCGTGGAAAGACGTGAACGAACGCAGCTGGATAGATATGACTCCATTCAAGTTCATCTTGAGAGCAGTACAACGCGATGAGCGTCGCCGAAAATGTTGGGGCTCTTTGGCGTTCGTTCTTCAAGAAAAAGACATTTTCTTTATAGTCGAAAAGCTTTGGCATTCACATTCAGCCATTAGTGAATGTGATGATATCACCGAGCTGAGGCTGTGTAGATGGCGAGTTCAAGAGGACTGGTCGCCGTGGAACTGTTTCCTAGTCACTGTTCAAGAAATGAAGGCACATCTGAAACTGGAGGATCCTGAACTAGTATATGATGAAGAGTTGGTACAGAAGATTGGGAATAAACACAAACTTGCGAAGGCCAACTTTGAGCAATTAATGGCAGTGAACAAGCGGTACACAGAGACAGGAGACTGGCAAAATATACGAGCTCCAGCCACGGCCCGCGTTGATGCTGTTGATAGAATTTAATATCATTTACAATATTTTAGTGATGCCTAATTTATATTATGATTGTTTTCTATGTTGTTGTAGTTTATCTATGTTGTGTATTCTGAATGTAGTTTATGTGTGCGTCTGTTGAAAATAGAGCTAAAATATTGATATTTTCCTTACAATATAATAATAATAATAATAATAAACACTTTATTGTACACCACTTACAAAAGACACGAACAAGAAAATAGTAGGTAGGTAAAAAAAAATAGTTTTGGCATGTTGCACAATGGGCGGCCTTATCGCTTACAGCAATCTCTTCCAGGCAACCTTAGGATGGATAAATAACCGTGAGAGCAGATACCATGTGGGTAGTTCATAGTGTTGAATTAAATACAATGGATATGACAGAACAGTTTAGATACATACATACAATATGTACACACATACATACATGCCCACATACTCATATATACATATATATATACATACACATACATACACAAAATCAGATACATACATACATACATACGGATATGCGGTAGCAGTTACTCTATTGAATCTGTGTTAGATAATGATCTTTTACTTGTCTTTTAAACGAATCCAAAGATTGCGCCCGTCTTATTGATAATGGAAGTGCGTTCCACAGTCGAATGGCTCCTACAACAAAGGATTTGTCATAAAAGGCAGTCGTATGTGTTGGCATCTCCAATCTCAAATTCGCAGTAGACCTCAAGTGTCTTGAATGTGCGTCATGAAGGAACTTAAAACGTTCTTTGAGATAAGAGGGCGTAGCAGGATTGTACAGAATACTGTAAAGAAGTGACAGGATATGCGTATTCCGGCGAAGACGGATAGGAAGCCACTTGAGCTTGTTACGGAAATCCGAGACATGGTCATATTTGCGCAAGCCAAATATGAATCTTATACAGAAATTTTGGAGACGCTCAAGTTTGTCCAGTTGTGCCTCTGTTAGATCAAGGTAGCAGGCATCAGCGTAGTCCAAGATGGGAAGAAGGAGAGATTGAGCAAGCGCAGTTTTAGTGGCGATTGGTAAAAAATTGCGAAGTCTTCTTAAGGACGCCGCCGATGCAAAGATTTTGCGACTCAGTTCTTGAATCTGTGGAGCCCAGGACAAAGTGCTGTCAAAGAGAATACCCAGATTTTTGACAAATTTACTGTACGGGATTGTAGTTCCATCAAACGTGACCGGTGGAATATGCGTCCAGTTAATTCTAGCTATCTGTCTGGGGCTGCCGATAACAATGAGCTGAGTCTTTGCTGGATTCACTTTTAACCCGTAAGTCGAGCTCCAGTTGGATATTGAAGTCAGGTCGGCATTTATCATTTTGACTGCTTCCAAGAGTTCTTCGAGCGGTGCCTGCGCGTAAATCTGCAAATCATCTGCATAAAGGTGGTAGGAAGATAGAAGTTGGTCAGAGATGGAATTAATAAAAGTTGCGAAAAGAAGAGGAGATAAGACGCCACCCTGCGGCACGCCAGCAGCAGTACTACGCCAAGTCGAGAAATTTGTGTCCACTCGGACACGCTGTCGACGGCCACACAGGTAACTCTGAAGCCAATCGTTTACCGCTGGAGATATGTTAAGGGAGCGCAGAATACCGAGAAGGACATCGAAATCGACAGTGTTGAATGCGTTACTGAAATCAAGTAGGGAGAGCACTGTCAGATTTCCATTCTCCATGCCGAGTCTTATGTCATCAGCAATATGTACAAGTGCTGTTGTAGTGCTATGGCCTCGACGAAAACCGGATTGGAATGGATTTAGGAGTTGATGACGGAGAAGGTAGGAGTTTAACTGGTTATGTACAAGACGTTCTAGGACCTTTGAGAGGAATGGTAGGATGGAGATAGGACGGTACTCTGAGTAGCATTTGGGATTAGGTTTTTTGGGCAGTGGCGTAATCTGTGCATCTTTCCACTGTGATGGAAAAACTGCGGAGGAAATGGAATAATTTAGGATGTGGGTGATGACCGGGAGAATCTCGTCGAGTATAGGTAGCACCATTTTACGGCTAATGTTATCCGCACCTACAGCATTAGATGTAATTGATTCTACACTCTTCCTAACATCACAGACGGTAAAACGACTAAATACGAAAGGAGAGTTTTCAGGGGTTGGTAAAGAAGAAAGATGTTTTAGTGTGTTCCCTTTAACAATATAATTATAGGGAAAATTAAAAATATGCTCGAATTAGTTCATTTTATGTATGTAAGAAGTTTGAACCAGATCTTTGCACCTTTTAGTAGGTGTTTGTTACATTATTATTATTGACTCGCACAGTTACTTATTAATTTTCTTGATTGTTGTTGCTTTTGTTCATAATTTAATGTCACGGTACGGAATTATGAAATAAAACTAAACAGTTATTTAAATTGTCTTCTTTTAATAATTACACGTAATACTTTATAACATAATTACACATTACATATACAATAATAATTTCTCAAGATATCAAACTCTCGTGATGGTAGTTTAAACAACACATTTAAAACACAGGTGATAAAAGATGAAAATTCATAACGAAATGCACTTTAGAGCTACGCTTAGTCGATAGATACATATATTATGTCAATAAATTACGTAAATATAATTTAGGCAATAAAATGATAGCTGTACAATTAGTAAACGAAAAGGAAACCCATGGTCTTTTAAATAGTATATCCCAGCTGTGTAACAATATCCAGTGAGTTAACAACATCAGTTACAAAATATAAACACCCACTTAATCGTCAACTTAAAAAAATATGTCTTATAAATAAAGTAAAGCTGTCAGAAAATGTCGTCACACGGTAGCGAGGTTCAGATGTGACTCTGTACATTCCCGCTTTTAGAATCACATCTATGAAGTGATGCAAACCGTGTAACCGCACGAGTCGGTGATCACATATAACAACGATTCACGTTCCCTAACACCACGATATTATCGTTTGGGTCAGCACAAAATGCATCAAAACACGAGTGTAACTAACATGACAATTTTAGGAATGAACTTTTGTTACTCACACAGCGTCAAACGTGTTTAGTGCCACAGAGCCAAATACGAAATGTGCCAAATAACAACAAATTCTTAGAAATAGATGGGACGAGAATAACAAAGACTTATTTTAACAATCACCAAACCTTGATTATCTTCAGAATTACACTTGCCAACTTAATGAGATGGAACTAAGGTTTCTCCAGTGCACTGCAGTTAGTGACAAACATAAAACAATCTCGATATAAAAATTACAGACATATTCGAATTCTTGCTTTAGAAAACATCTAATATGCAATATTAGATAAATTAAGTAATTCATGTGCCTTATTTATTAGTTCTAACATTTCATTCGTAAAAATAAAATTTTGCCTAATGGACATCAGTCGAGTTGTAAAAATGGAGTCTTGCAAACAAGTCTATGTAAAGGAAACAATATTCTTAGACGCTGTCTAATCCTACAACTGTTTAAAAATCCAACATCATAAATTGTTCTATATTTTATTATCTAAGCATAGGTCATTCTCTCATTAGCGAGCGACTATCAAAGTAAGTGTTTGTACATTTTGCACCATCTCGTGAGACAGCGAATCGTGCGCGACGTAGCCGCGTCTATACATCTCAACATATCCGGACACCATCAACTGTTCCTACTCTAAATTTACTCAACAGAGACCGAACTATTGGTACTAGCTAAAATTTATTTACAATAAACAATTGTGCCTCGATAGAACAATACTCTAATAATTTGTAACTCTCTCGGAGCGGTATAATACAAAAAAGTGCAGACACAATATTCACATAAAAGAATACATATCTATTATACACTTACTCGACTATTTTTGCACTTTTATATTGCCAGTTCAGTGGCTTAAACTCGGAATATCTCAATTTAATTAAGACTTCATAACCCATATCTATGTCGTCAACACAACTATCATCTTAACAGTCTGTGATTTATATTTACAATATCAAAGAGAAGGAAGAAGTATCGATACAAAGAGAAGAGGTACTTATAATAGTCGCGTGCAAACAAACGTCCACCACCTATTATATTGGTTTCACTTTTACAAATGGCATATCATATACTATTGCTATATAGGCTGTTCACAATATACAAGGGTTACTTAGTTGTTTTGGTTCGTATTTACAAGTCTTTCAACAAGGATCAACTTAAGATTCGGAATTACTAAACGCTTAGTTATATGTTAAGACACATATGCATGCACTAACAGAACCACGTGTTATTCCTATTAGCAAATAGGAATCGCACGCCGAAATCAACGCTTCTCAACACTATCCAATATCCTACATAAACTCTATCAGCCAACAGAACAATAATAAATCTCCGTGTATCTTAAAACATTCCCACTACCTCTAACGATTTGCTTTATAAACCAAACTTACGATTACACCTGCAGACGAAACGACGCGACCTAAGGCTTCTGTTTCTACTACGACCGGACCGACGCAGAAGCTGGCTAGTGTCTGTCGGACCGGTCGGAACGATCTGGCGCTCAGCGACACAGGAGCCTGGGGGGCGGCGTCGGGCGACAGACTGACCGGGGCAGCAGACTGGCCGGGGCGACCGCCAGCCTCAGTGGTAGCCGTCCAGCTCCATGGATGAGGAGTGGCGGTCAGAGCTGGAGTACGAGGAGTGCATGGAGTAGTTGAGGTTGCTGAGCGACATGTCCTGCGGCACGTCGGCGGGCGCGCCTTGCTCGGCCTCGGCGGCCTCCTTGTCGCTGGCCTCCATGAACTTTATGATGCGATGCGTCGCCTTCACGTGCGCCACGATCGCTGCTTCAGCCTGCAATACCGGGACAATATTTCCGTTAATTTAAAACTGTGTATGTAGTAAATGGGACTGGGAATCAATACATGTTTAATGACGATGTTTTAGGTGAAGTAAATTCTTACAACGTGTTTTAATTGAGTTATTCTTAATAACATAAACAATGCTACATTTATCGTTGTTCGGGAATAGTAGCTAACTAGGTACAATATGCAAAACTAAATTATTATAACAATGAAAAACTATGTATTTATAATAACTATCGTGAGACATACTAAATTAAGTAAAATCACGGGTTACTCACGTGAATATACTGATAAAAGCTCTACTACTACGACTTCACCGCTACCGCGCCCGCTGCTTATGAGGAAGAACCCCTCTGTGGTTCGAAACCAGTAGAGCTTTTCTCAGTATAATCACATCAGTAACCCGCGATTTTACTTAATGAAAAAGTACTTATGTGTATTGATTCCAAGTTAATTTCAAGAAAATATTATGATATATATGATAATATCATTTTCTGTAGAAACTGTTATCAATGTCACAAATTCACAAGCAATCCCATTTTTTTCACACATTCTCACCTCTTTACAAATAATATTTTACTTGATAATATATCACAATAAGTATCAGATTATGAGCGAACGCGCGTACAGTTTAGGTTAGTGACATTGGACCACATCCTGAGCAAACACTTACCTACCATTATTTTTAATCCTTCAAACTTTTAGCATTCAATGTACTATGTATAGCTAGTAATCATTGCATTATGATATAATTATGTATACTCCGGTTCCAATTCACACAGAACTTTGCACCCATTTACTTTAAGGTTTCGTTTAAATTATAGCGAATGATAGCTTTATCGGGAAGACTAAGTGTAGGTAGTCCCACACTTAAACCTAATTTTTAGGGGTCATGGTTCGGCACGAATGGGCCGGCCCGACCGGAGTGATATCACGGCTTCACAGAAGACCGACGTGAAACAACGCTTTCGTTGTGTGAGTGAGGTTACCGGATCCCCAATTAACCCCCCCCCCCCCACTTCCGCAATCCCTGAATCCTCAACAATCCTCAAATTCCCAAAAGGCCGGTAACGCACTTGTGAGGCCTCTGGTATTCCAGGTGTCAATGGCCGACGCCGATTGCTTACCGTCAGGTGATCCGTCTGCTCGTTTACTAGCTTATCTCATAAAAAAGACTATAGAGTAGATACAGAAGGTACTTACGCTGGCGGTGAGCGACAGGAAGGCGTAGTACTTGTTGAGCGTGGGCAGTAGCGGCGCGTAGAGCGGCACGCGCAGACGTAGTGCGCGCGCGTGGTGCGGCGCGGCGCACGCGGCGTGGCCCAGCAGCAGCGCCATGTAGGCGCCCACCATGCTGTGCTCCATGTGCGCGCCCGCGCGGGCCAGCACTGCACACACACTCACTTACATGTCTTTACGAAAATAAACAGGGGCCTTTCTAGGACTTTGTTTCACGTTCAAATTAATCGAAACTAGTACGCGTTCAGCGTGCCAAGCACGAATAACTATCGCATTCGTAACGTTATAGTATCACTGGAGCGCTCGATACTATTACGTTACGGATGTGATAGTTATTTGTACTTTTTTTTTAAAGGGGTAAATTCATCCAATGACTTCTCTCGCCTTGGGTTGGCGAGAGGGAGTGTCAGGCTCTTACTGACTAAAAACCACCTTGTTCCTTCTTCGAGCCGGAGCCCTGGCAACCAGTTAGACCTTCCGCGGCTCCGTATCGGATAGTTATTTGTACTTGGCATTTTGATTGGCCGGCTCCAATGAATCAACCAATCGGACCGCCAAACGTAGACCACGTTTGGCGGTCCGTTTCGATTACTTTCAACGTAAACCAAACTCGTACTAAGACCTGAGTCATTTATTACAGTAATGTACTAAATCTATATAAATTATAATTAATTTCCGTTCGCTAGTCTCGCTAAAACTCGAGAACGGTTGAACCGATTGACAAATTCTAGTCTTGAAATGTTCGTGAAAATTCAGGGTTTTGAAGGTTTAAAAGCTGAGAAGAAAATTTTAGGCGGTACGGAGTTTGCCGGGTCAGCTAGTCCATAATAAATATATACCTAACGAAAGATACGTTCCTCAAAATAATAATTAAAAAGAAATCAAGAATTATCGTATACAACACGCATTCATTGTCGTATTTGCGTATGTTGGTGAAACCGTTGCGCAATCGAATACAACTTTAGTTTTTAACTAGCTGTTGCCCGCGACTTCGTCCGCGTAGATTAATGACTTCTGACAGAATTAACCAGAATCAATTCAGTGCCCAAGTAAGATTTACCTATTTTGAAATGATTTATCGTAGTTTCAATAAATAAATAATCCCGCAGGGATCTTACCAGTACAGTGCCCGATCACGTAAGGTTTGAGTAATAAAAACCTATTCTATCGACTATTGTTGTACCGAATCTCTCTAGAATAAGTTCAGTGGTTAAGAGTTAGAGAGTCCTGGGGCATTGACGCATAGTTCCCGTTCTCGTGAGACATCTGTGAAAAAACTATCATACGTTACCCAGGTCCTAAATCATTGTTTTAATGATTCTAAATTCAACGGCTAAGAAGATTTATACAAACTCTCATTCCCTATTTTATCCCCTTAGGGGTGGAATTTATCAAAATCCTTTCTAAAGAGATACCTATGTCATAGTAACTTTATGCATGCAAAGTCTCAGCCCGATCAATTTAAAACTGGCAAAGTATCATACAAACTTTCACCCCCTATTTTACCCACTTTGGGGTGAGAATGTTCAAAAACCTTTCTAAAGGGACGTTTACGTCATAATATCCATCTGCACGCCGAACTTCAACCCGATCGGTGTAAAACTGACAAAGCTTCATACAAACGTTCATCCCCTATTTTACCCCCTTAGGGGTGGAAATTATCAAAATCCTTTCTTAGCAGATGCCTATGTGATAACATCTATCTGCATGTCAAATTTCAATCCGATCGATTTAAAACTGACAAAGCTCATATAAACTTTCATCCCCTATTTTACCCACTTAGGGGTGGAAATTATCAAAATCCTTTCACAGCGGATGCCTACGTCATAACATCTATCTGCATGCCAAATTTCAACCCGATCGATTTAAAACTGACAATGTCCCATACAAACTTTCATCCCCTATTTTACCCACTTGGGGGTGGAAATTAACAAAATCATTTCACAGCGGATGCCTACGTCATAACATCTATCTGCATGCCAAATTTCAACCCGATCGATTTAAAACTGACAATGTCTCATACAAACTTTCATCCCCTATTTTACCCCCTTGGGGGTGGAAATTATCAAAATCCTTTCAAAGCGGATGCTTACGTCATAACATCTATCTGCATGCCAAATTTCAACCCGATCGGTTTAAAACTGACAAAGTCTCATACAAACTTTCATCCCCTATTTTACCCCCATTGGGGGGGAAATTATCAAAATTCTTTCACATGGATACTTACGTCATAACATCTATCTGCATGCCAAATTACAACCCGATCGGTTTAAAACTGACAAAGTCTCATACAAACTTTCATCCCCTATTTTACCCCCATTGGGGGTGGAAATTATCAAAATCCTTTCACATCGGATGCTTACGTCATGACATCTATCTGCATGCCAAATTACAACCCGATCGGTTTAAAACTGACAAAGTCTCATACAAACTTTCATCCCCTATTTTACCCCCTTGGGGGTGGAAATTATCAAAATCCTTTCACAGCGGATGCTTACGTCATAACATCTATCTGCATGCCAAATTTCAACCCGATCAGTTAAAAACTGACAAAATTTCATACAAACTTTCATCCCCTTTTTTACCCCCTTGGGGGTGGAAATTATCAAAATCCTTTCTTAGCGGATGCCTACGTCATAACATCTATCTGTATGCCAAATTTTAGCCCAATCTGTCCAGCGGTTTGGGCTGTGCGTTGATAGATCACTATGTCAGTCAGTCAGTCAGTCAATCACCTTTGAATTTTATATATATAGATTGAGCGAGTACAACTTTAGAAGCAACCATCACACGAAGTTGCAATGTAGTAAAATATTGTACTTTTTTCAAACGTCGAAAGATAATGTATTAATTTTATACACTTTACACCGTGATGTTATTCATATAAAAGGGATAATTAAATTTGCAATAAAGTAATTTGAAAATAAAAATTGATAGCTTACACTTCGCAACAGTCTCGTCAATATCATCCTGAGATTGCTTCTTCTTATCATTATTATCATCCGGCTCCTTTTCGCCATCTAGCAGAGCGTCTGTATTTTCCTCAGCCCGCCTGTAAAAATAATTTATGAAGATATAGTTAAAATACATAAAAATGCAAACATACAATTATTATGTACCATCAATATTTTTTTTTACATAGTATTACTTGTTATTTTCATTAATTTTGTCTCTAATTTATATGACAGGTATTATAAATGAAAAAGAACATTAATATTAGAGTATGTAAGCCAGTAACACCATCTTACCTTGCCAGTTCTTCCCGTTTATAGAACAGATCTACAATAAGATCTAAGGCGCCAATGCTCCTGGATATGACGTCTTCTTCGTTATCAACACGAATACGGACGTTCAACAACCTCTGTGTATTGGGTTCGTTGTTCTGAACTAAGTTAATTAACAGCAACAGTACCTGGGTGGAGAAAAATGAAATAACATATCTACTGACACATGATTATAATAACGGATGCCAAAATGCTAATTTTCTCTAATTGCTAATTCTAACAATTAGCGAAAATGTGTATTGCTTCGAAATACAATATGTGTTGCATAATTTTGGTTAGGCAAGTTATATAAAGCTATTCATAAGAGTACCTTATTGACTACCATATGCCTTACATTTACCAGTGTCCTTGCCCCCAGAAGAATAAAATCTGAATGTCTAATACTCAAGTGAATAAGTCAATTAAAGGCAGATAAAAAAAATTTAAGTGTGGGAGAGCCATGCTTTGGCACGAATGGGCCGGCTCGACCGGAGTGATACCCTCATAGAAAACCCAATCTCCCCAATCCCTGAATCCCCAATGATCTTCAAACTCCTAATCCCCAAAAGGCCAGTAACGCACTTGTAACGCCTCTAGTGTTCCAGGTGTCCATGGGTGACGCCGATTGCTTACCATCCGGTGATCCGTTTGCTCATTTACCGACTTATGCCATAAAAAAAATATAGTTAGTACTTACACAAACACTGAATTCGAAATTTCTGTTGTCAGGAATAAAGTTTCCTTGGTTATACAGTATGATGAGACAGGTCTCCATAACCGATTGCTGCTCCCCAATCACCTGAGCTCCAAGTGAAACTGCAAAAACAAATATATTTTATCTAAAGACCCTTAATTTTATTTATGTCGTCTTTTTTAAAGGTTATCTTTAGGAGAACATAGAAGATGAGTTTTCCTTAATAGATTATTATTATATGTAGTTGATACATAGTTAATTATGCATAGCCACACATGACTGGTATTTAGATTACCTGTTTAAGTGTCTAGATTTAGGTTTGGCGGAAACATAACTCTGCCCCGACCAAGTGTAGGTACGATGCTGTTTCTCGATCTTTAGGCTGAAGTAGAGTTAAGAGAAAACTGAAGAGCGATTCTTTTATGCTAGGAGCGCCATTTATTTTACCAATAGTTTCTATAGAGATCTATAAGTTTACCTACAATAAATTTGACAAAAAATTTATTTCGGTCAAGTCTGTTCGTGTCTGGTCACTCAGACACTTGTTTACTCCTCTCATGTAGTCATGGCACATAAATGCGTCAGCTAACTCAGCAAGGGCCGATTTTTCAATCATCAGTAAAATCTTAAATTGTCAAATATTCACTGCCTTGTTGGCCGAGTAGTCGCAAGTGCGACTGCCGGGCAAGGGGTCTCGGGTTCGATTCCCGGGTCTGGTATTACTGGGTTTTTAAAAAAATCTCAGTGGTAGCACGGAGTCTGGAATTGTATATGGTATATGGCACTCCCCCCCTATTACATGGGACTCATAACATAAATAGTGAAAAGTGGGTGTTACATTGTACAGTGGCATAATGTACACCTCTGCCTACCCATTCAGGGATAAAAAGGCGTGACGTTATGTTATGTCAAATATTCAAAGTTCAGTTAAAATTTATCTGGCGTTGGAAAACCGGCCCTAAGAGACATTGCATTGTTACAGTTTCTGGCAGACCTGTTAGATATTTAGTAGCAAATGGCGTTAGTTACCGGCGGAGCCGAAGCTATGTGAGAGGTTGAGCAAGACTTTGAGTGCGGGCAGCGCGGCGTCGAGCAGTGGCGCGCGCAGCGCAGCGTGCGAGTAGGCCGCGCCGCACCACGCGCGCAGCACGCCGCAGATGCTGCGCGCCGCCGCGCCGCCGTTGCCGCACAGGTACACCTGGTTGTCCTCGTTCGCTTGCGTCACCTGCTCAACAATATTATTTCAGCTCATATTTCTTACAAACAAAACAAAATATGTACTTATAGGTAACTAACTTTAAGTCCTATTAAACTGCAATCCGCAATGCGTTATGTTTTATTTATTTATTTATTTTAACACTTTACGTACAACTGTATACAATGGCGGACTTAATGCCGAATGGCATTCTCTACCAGCCAACCATAGGGTGATGCAGAGAAGTGTTACAGTAGGTTTTAAACGAAGTTTGCATCTATTGAAAAAAATAAATAAAAAACGAGGGTGATAAATGTATCCTAGTACATAAACTACATACCAATACTACATACTAATATGAAACATAAATATAATATGTAAATAAAAAATATTAAATATAATATAATATAAAAATAAATATATGTTTTCGTTATGTGCTAGTAGTGGATCAAATATTTTTAAATACATAGCTCTCGAAAAAAAATCGACGCCATTACGCGGAAATTATTCAATTACCCCATCGAGACACTATAAACAATAGATGGCATGAAATTGACAATGGCTAAGGTTTTTTGTTCTGTTTTTCACTATTTAAAGATAGGTAGGTCACTACATACTATGTACTCATTTAGTCATTTAACATCAAGAATCCTTCTTTATCTTAATATTTATATTTTTAAATTACTACACAAAAGGCCACATTGTACAGAATATCACAACAATAAAGCATGAGTGTCATATTTAGTATTACTTATCATTGCTTGATTCACTTTTTACTGTGTTATGTAATATAGATAAAAGTTATATCGAAAAAGTAACCATTGATAAGAAATTGTATTATGAAAATACTGATAACTTACGTTTTCTAAAACTCGCAGACATCTATCTGCTTTTCTTAGTATTTCGACGTCGGCGCTAGTCCAGCTGTCGACGGGCGAGTCAAGTTTCGCTGCGCAGTCCTGGATAGTTCGCACGATGTGGTCTACACCACCCAATACACGGAGTTCTTCTTTGAACCATTCACCAGCTCGTTTTGACGTCAGTGAAAGCAGGGTTTCCATGGCCAGATGACCCACCTGAGATAGAATAAACCAAATTTTATAATAAACAATAATTAGACATATTCCATGAATTTTTTCCAAGTCAATAAATACTATTCTAAGCAGAGTAATAAAATACTCACAGTAATGTTTTCTAAATCCAAGTGTTGCGCTTTCCCTTGGCTTTTTATTTCAGCACATAACTCTCTAACCCTTTCTTGGGTTTTGGTTAGCTGGGCTGAAGTCAAACCGCAGTCATCAAGCGCATTTCTGAAAAAAATAAAATTGATGGTAAGATTGCCACAGAGGTCTCTTCAGAGGTAAAATTTCAAAATACTAATGAGGCCACAGATAGCTTGAACATATTATAATCGAGCACTTTTTATGACTGATAGAAGACTGAAAATAGGGATTTCACTTACTTGTGTGATGCATCAGATTCGAGTAGGTTGAGCATGAGCTCAAGGGATTCACGATCCAGATCCATATTAAGACGGTCTTGAGACAACACGAACATCACTGTTGCAGTACACAGACCCAAACTCTGAAACAGAACACAAGTCATAACATTTAAGTACAACATAATTTTATTTAGGTAACAAGATTAAATAATGCATTCAATTATATAACTTTATGTGGTTTTTATACAGTATACTAAGTTTGCATCAAACATTATAAGATACAAGGTTAAGGCAAGTTGAAGAACTAGATTTCATTAAGTCTTGCTACAATTTATTTTTGCTTGCTTGCACTTTGTGAGAAATTAAATCTAGACATCAACTCTGATGTTTACATTCCATTTATCTCAAATACTCATTCTTGTTATAACATTATTCTGTTAATAAACATCACAAATAGCAGATCAACGAAAACTATTATTTGATTGAGTCAAAAACAATAAGTCATTGATATAGTTCTAAATGTATGTAACCCAACCCTAGAATTATCTAGGGTGTGTGTACTGTAGGTACTTCAAGACTTAACCATAAGTATGTATTTCATAACATAAAGTAATAATAAAAAGACTTACCTGGTCATTAGTAGCATCATGTAGTGCACTGAAAAACTTCTGCACGGTGCCATGCGCGCGCAGATGCATACGGAACGCAGGCGCCGTACACTTGCTCGCCAGTGTGATCGCAGACAGACAACGCGTAGATATCGGGTTGTTATTCTGTAGGAAATACATTTATTATCAGTAACAAGACTTTATTCAATAATGGACATGAAAAACTCTCTAGCTGAATTCAAATTGTTATATAATTTTGAATAGAATAGTTGTATCAATTTAATAAAGTATTCAACAGCTGCATTAGAACAATGCTCAAGTAATCATTTACTTTTATAAAATGCATAACTCTGTTAGGTTATTATTAGACACAAATGTACACACCTGTAATGCATCTAGGAGATATTCAACATCATCATTGAATTCTTGGAACTCTCCAATTTCCTGGATCTGATGGGCCTTTTTCACATTTCTCACAACTGTGTAAAACTGTAACAGGAAAAATTGACATGTAAAATGTAAATTACCAATTGCTATTTATGGTCAATTTATCAATCAAAACATAATTTCATTAATAGAATAAAATTTATGTCTAGCATTATTTTGTATGGACGAATTGTCAAAAATTTCAAAATTATTCCTCTGATAAAGTTATTTGGTATTGTAATAATCTGCCCTGAATTAAAAACACAAAGCCCACAAAAAATGTGCGCAATGTCATAAGTAATTTTTATCAGATATCTCACTCACACTCATCCGAGTTGTCTAGTATTGTCACAATACTTCGAAGGTGACAGTTTGCAGTTGTCACAACCCAACCCAGGCCCAACTATAATGCACACTATGAACATATGTCTAATGATACCATACCTCTTTAGCCTCTTTACTGCATTTGACGCTAGTATATGGTTTAACAGTTTCAATTGGATCATCCACTATTGGATCTGGGGCTCGGTATCTAGTAACTCTGGTTAGTTCTTCTGATACTTGTCCCACTTGATTATTTACTTCTGCATTCTCAACTGGTTCTGGCCTTGGAGTCTCATTGCCTTTCTGTAAATACAATAATAATGTATATGTAACAACTTGATATTCTTTCATTATGTAATCAAAGCGTTGTATTTTTACTATCTACTTGATGTAACTTCAAGGTTTGTTGTGTAATACAGTGATACAATTAAAATTTCTAGAGATTAACCAAGAATCTAAGTTTATACACATTATTCTGCAAAATAACTAACTACAAAAAATAAAACAGTAAGGAATATTGTACAATAGATTAACAACATAACAATGAGTATAATTAAAATGTACTCACATCATTGGCCCATTCATGACGATACAGATGACGCCTTTTCCTTGCAGGCAGTGGTGATGGATTGTCATTCACTAAAGATTTGCTCTTAAATATTGATCCTTTCTTTTTAGTAATGACTAATTTAACACTGGGTTTATCTTCATTCTGTGCATGATCCTCTGACTCACATACACCTCTAGGTGATTTAAATACATCTTCTTGTGAATTTTTTTGTACCTCTTCTTCAGAATTTTCATTAGGACAGCTGTTGTAAGCAGAATCTAAAGATTGTGTGTTGGTCTGGGAATAGGTTGGAGTGTTATTTGTATTAAATGCTTGAGCAACTATCTCATTAGGTTCCTCTTCCTGACTAACTTCTTCATTTGAGGCACTCTGTTCAACAGGGTTATCCTCTGGAGGCATTTCTATATCATGATCAGGGCTTGAATTTTTATTGTGCTTATGTTTATGTTTTCTATGGATCTTAATCTTGGGAACTTCATTTTTAGTATTGTCACTTCCACCAGACAAAATATCTATTAGATCATTCTTCTCCATGGGAATTTCATTTTTCTCAACAGTTTGTTCATGCTCTGGAGTAGTAACTGCAGAAGCAATGTCAGCTAAAGTTTCATGCTTTCTTCTAGTTTTTCTTGCTTCTTTTTTAATGTCACTTACAGTTTTGGTTCCTTGTTTATTTGGATAACCAGCTGTAAGAACATCCAAATAATCATCATTCTCACTATAATTTATGTTAGGTCTGTTTCTCCTCGATCTTCCAGAGGTATTACTCTCTGGGGGTTTAGGTTCAGGAGGTAACTCATTTGGTTGAACTTCCAATCTAGGGGATTTAATTACAGATCCAGAATCCAATTTAGCCAGCTGGGACTCAATATCGTCCCTAGGCGACATCTTATTTTTAATTTCTTTCTCAGTTTCATGCGAAGGAGATGCTAGAGTCTTGTAAAGATCATAAGCATCAGTCCCAGGTTGTGGTGAACTCAATTTCTTTAATGGTTCATCATCTGAGTTTTTGTGATGACGTTTATGAGATTTGTGATCTTTTTTATCTTTCTTCTTTTCTTTTTTGGTTTCTTGAGTTAGACCTCCACATTTTATTGTGATTTTCAGACCTTCATGCTTCGGAGAGCATATTGTTTCCATAGAAGGGCTCTTTTTATGATCAGATCCAACATCTGAATGTGTATCTAGAGATGAATGTCTATCAGAACTAGGAGATGTAAAGCCTTCGTTTGAATCTGTGCTGACAATTCTAGATGTTCCTTTAGATATCCTGAGCACAATTGGAGGAGGTTTGCGTTCCTCATTAGTTTCCTTACTTGTTGATGGACTTGTAACATCTGGTTTAATGACAGATGGACTAGATACTAATGGACTGGTTTTGGGTGATGGTATTTTAGATGAAGCAAGTTTTGATTGTGATGATTCATATCGAGTGAACTCTGGTATGGGGCTGTTACTTCCATCTTCGGCATAATTTATCACTTTATCACGATTGCGAACCAGGTAACGTTTATTTGGTGGTTGAGTATTTTCAGCAGGTGCATCTTCTTTTCTAGAAGCTTTTGTGGCAACAGTACCCTTTTTGGATTTAGATTTCTCAGAGTTACGACGGGGTAATTCAGGAGAAGATGAATCTCTGGTATAAGCCCTGCTTCGTTTAGTTGTCTTCTTTTCTTTACTATGTGAGGGATGTTCAGGTGACAGTGGGGCAGCAGGTACTGGAGGAGCATAAGTAATTTGTGGAACTGGTGGGTAAACCTCAGCGTTGCGAGATTTGAAGAATTTCTTAGGCTTTGGTGGTGGTTGCTCAGTTTCAACTGCAGGCACTGTCAGTGGACTGTTTTGATCTTGCACAGGTTTTTTAAGAATATTGTTTGCATATGCTGAAATACAAAAACAATACATTTAGATAATAACAAATATTGATAAAAGTAAATAAACAACACAGTCAAAAGTATTGAAATTGACCATAGATAATAGAATCAAGTTCATTCATTCAAAATGAAGGCACTGATTTACATTTACTTTCACTATATTTTGATAGATTATATTTGTACAAATAGCATTCTAATAAGAATATAGGTTTAGGAAAAACAATAAATAACTGAGGAACTTGACTTCAAGGTTGTTTATAAATGACAAATGTGTCAGTAAACGTGCTTACCGTAAGGTGCGCTTCTAATCGACGTGAAGCTAGTGATTCCCCATTTGCCCACTGTACCCGCCGAGCGGGCTGCAGTTGGGCAGTTGCTATTTTCTCTAAAGAGAGCGCTATCCAGCGGTACGGCCACGCTACCGCCTCGGCCTCTGCCCCAGCGCGACATGCTGATAATTTCATCAAAAACGGTGACACCTGCACCGACCCCGTCTAATCAATCGTCGAGGCAAATGTCAAATCGCGAAACACATGCCGTTTCCAAACACTAGATTTAGGATTCGTAACACTAAAAATCCATGGATATCACTTTTAGACCATTACTTGACTTTCACCAAATGAAATGAAAACACAACCCATAAAGATAACACACCCGCCATTTTTACAGGAGCTAAGTACTTTTCTCTAAGATGCACCCAAATGCGTAATCAAGCGACATATTAGTTTATCACGTTTCTATAATTTGCATTACAAGAATCTGATTCTCTTTGAACTTATGAGGTAGATCTAAAATGTTGAATTTAACAAGAGTTAATGACAAATAGGACACAAACTGCGATGTTGTCATCTCACAACACAAAAGACGCCATATTGGCTAAACAAGAAGTGAATTTCGTCAACCAATAGAAACACAGCAAAATGGGGAGTGAACCATAGACTCTCAAACATTTCAAAATATGAGTAGAGGTTTGAATAACTTGCAACGTTACTCAAAATATATAAAAATCTTTTACAAAGGCTTTACGAGGCATCATTATGTATTTGACTACCATATTAGCTATTTTTCTAGTAAAATGTTGTAATCTTAATTTAAATGAAAAGTGATACAATGCATGTCACAACCATAGACAACGGTTAGATTATCTATATTGCGCGGGATAAGTGAAGTGCGGGAAGCGTGAGATTTTGAGCGGAATATTTAAAAAAATGAAAATATTGCAGTAATGAGGTGACGATTATTTTTGTTTGGTCGGAAGGTTGTTTAAAGGGGCCCTCGACCACGGCAACTTTCTGTAGTGATGTAATTATATCGCTACTATTTTTATTTCCCGGTAAATTCACACGACGAAAAACAACGCAAGCATTGTTTCACGTCGATCTTCTGTAAGGCCGTGGTATCACTCGAGCCGCTATATTCATGCCAAAGTATGGCTCTCCTATTAATTAAAAATGACGTTGCATCTTGCACATTGTACGCAATCACAATCTTCACAATCACAAATCACAATCTTGCACATGTGCGTGCGCCTTGTGGTTTACGTGGAGCAAAAATATACCAACTACGACAAAAATTCTCCCATCAATTTTATATCTCCCATAAATATTTGGGACTTGTACCAGAAAATTTAGAAGAACCTAAAATAAAAAAATTAACATTTCTTTGAATCTCATTTTTTTATTGGATACTTTGTTGATATTTATGTTTTGACATAATTAATGAATTTATTTTTCGTATGATAAGAATAATTAGATATTCATAACATTTTTAACATTATTTTTATAAAACTAATTTATAAAATTAGTTAATTGCAGTTGTACCCTTTCGATTTAATGAATAATAAATCGATTTAATAATTTCAAAATACCTAACTGTCGAAAATCGAAACGAACCTTCTTTTTTAGTCGGTTAGAATAAATAAGTACCTACATTAAATCGTAGGTAAGTGTTAGTTTATAAACAATAAAAATATTATTTTATTTTTAGTTTACAAGCAAGTGAGATTTATTTATCAATTTTTTCCAATCTTCTTGCAATGTACTTTTTTGTTTACAAAATTTTGTATCGTGCATGCACGTGCCTAGGTTACATGATTGGTACTACTTGACTGGAAAGTGCGTTGCAATGAACAAAGGGCCAAGCACGAATAACTATCGCATTTGTAACGTAATAGTATCGAGCGCGTTCGGCGCTCTGATTGGCCGGCTCAAGTGAACCAACCAATCAGGAATGCTTAACTCGCTCGATACTGTTACGTTACGAATGCGATAGTTAGTTATTCGTAAATTTTTGGGCCGCTTTTCGTGAACTGACACTCCATCTAGACATTACACCACAATCAAAGGTACATGTACTAGACCATTTAGAAGAGAAGTCTAAAAAATTGTAGCCGAGACAGCTACAATTTTTTTGAATTTTATTTGAAAGTTTTATTGGACACTGTGTTGATATTTATATTTTGTCATATACATAAGTAATTTATTTGCCGTATGATGACAATGATTAAATTCATTTTTCATTCCTATAAAACCAATTTAGGACATTTTATTGCACCCTTTCTTTAAAAGAAATCGACTAAATCGATTCAATCATTAATAAGAATAACTGTTGAAAATCGAAATGAACCTTCATAATTTAATTGGTTATATATATAATACCTACATTAAAACGTAGGGAAGTGTAAGTTAGATACATAACAAGATTATTACTATTTTATTTTTAATTAATAAGCAAGTGAGATTTTTTCAATTTTTCCCTCTGATTGCAAGGGGAAAATCAAAAAAATTGACAACACTGATGGAATATGACGGCTTAAAACATAAATTAAATAATATATCATTTTAAGCTAAACACCAGCTGTAGTCAAATGCCATTGAGCGCTTGTCTACATGTAGAATAGAAAACCAAATTAAATGGAATTGACGTAAATTTTGACATTTATCAGTGTCATTCCCATACATTTAATTTTCTACTCTTTCTGTAGACAAGCTAAAGTGGCGTTTGGCTAAAGGCACAGATCGCTTATCCTTGAGGACCTGGGCCTCTAGCCAAAAGCCACTTTAGCGCTTGTCTACAGTGAGAGTAGAAATCAAAATGTATGGGGATGACACTGACAAGTGTCAAAATTTACGTCAATTCCATATAATTTGGTTTTCTACTCTACATGTAGACAAGCGCTAAATGGCATTTGGCTAGCACTGCTGTTTAGCTTAGTTTATAATTTTCATACAATTTTATGGAACATGTGGCTATTTTTACAATGTATGTACATATTTGTTTACGGATTTATTTCTAGCGTGCATGACACGTAGTGCAGCCTGGGTAGCACGATTGGTACTATTCGACGGGAAAGTGCATTGCTGTGAACAATTCACTGCAAAATTTTGCAACTGTGTCGTGAACTAGGAGCATTACAGAATCAATGCAAAAAAACGTAGTGCCGTTTTTAAAATGACGTACCTAGCTACGGGAGGTAGCTGTCTTCCCCTATACTTATTATACACTTTGAAGATGCCCTTCGAGGTTTTTCATTTTTTGTATGGCGAATCGACTCTATAATATGTCTATGATCGAGACCCAGTTTACCATGCCTAATTGGTCTCGTTTTGTATAGGTACGACCTTTCCGGCAATTTCAAATTTATAATTAGAAATCATAAGCTAAGGTTTCCTTACAATTGGGCTCGCTGTCATTGCAGCGGTAAGTCCCCTCTTAGAGGAGTGGCTTGAGAGACGCTATGGCATCCTCACCTACCGCCGGACGCAGGTGCTTACCAGACACGGAAGTTCCTGTAGGTTCCTGCTTCGGATTGAGCGGGAGGAAACGCCCGGGTGTCATCACTGCGAGGATCGCCCGGAGGACACGGTGGAGCATACGGTGGCGGTGTGTCTTGCGTGGGCTGAGCACCGCGGTATCCTCAGGGATGTGATCGGCGACGGCGACCTCTCGCGTCCGGCTCTGGTTCAGATCATGGTACGGAGCGAGGGGGACTGGGATGGCATGCCCTCCTTCTGCAAAGTAGTCATGCTAGCTAAGTAGGAGGCAGAGCGCGTGAGGGAACGAACCTCCTCACGCCCCGGCCGTCGCGAGAGACACTCTGGGCGTCGGGGATCGCGAGACGATCTTCGGCCACCGTAAGCACGGGCCAGCGGACGGCGAGCACGGGTGATTCGCCGCCCCACCAGAACCAGGCCCGAGAGTACGGCGCGTCGCGTTCCGCGTGCGCCTCAAGGAGCCATCAGACCACCACAGATGGGGCCCAACAGGGCAGATGCCGATACGGAGCCGCGGAAGACTTAACGGGTTGCCGGGGCTCCGGCTCACAGTGCAGGAGTAGGAACGGGGTGGTTTTTAGTCAGTAAGACTCTGACACTCCCTTCCGCCTCACCCGGGCGGGAGAAGTGATTGGATGATTTTCCCCCCTCAAAAAAAAACGGTTTCCTTACAATGGTTTCTTACACCATTTGTCGGTGGTGTCTAAATTACTTAGAAAGTACATATAACTCGGAAAAAGACACATAGTACGTGCTGTTGGTAGGTCTCGAACCCGCATCCTCATGCATGAGAAGCGGGCGTCAGTATAAAATGGCCCTTAAGCGAGACCATGATACGTTTATCAAGGTCTCGCTTAAGTAGAATCTGGGATCGGTTGGTCCCAGATTCCGGCCGGTGGACAATGGGGTCTACTATCTGCCCACACATGTCTCAAAAATAAAATTGCGTCTCTTAACAAAATATAGCTCATGTAACATTTCAATGGCCTAAGTAGCGATGCTGTCACATGTCTGTGCGAAGTGCATACACTCGCGAACTGCACATAAAAGTACTTACCTATCTTGCGTTAATAGCGAATAGTGATGCTGTCGCACTTTTAGAGGACGCGCGACAGCATCGGTACAATGAGTCGTCGTGGGCGTGGGCCCTAAAATAATTTTACTATACACACATATTATTATTAATTACTTAGTTTTGTTCTTCATTATCATCATATCAGATGCACGACGTCCACTGCTGAACATTGGCCCTCTCCAAATGACTTCCAGATCAGTTGGAAGCTACCGATTTTTTCTTCATGAGCATGAGGAATAACAGTGCGACAGTCACCGCGGTGATGCTGCTTGTCTTTAGTCTCTAGAATGGTTTGAAACTAGCAGATTTCCTCGTCAAATTAGCTTTTTAATACACGCGCCTTCTGAAGGATAGGGCTAACTAAAAATTATAAGCATATGATACTAGTAGCGTTATTTATGAGTCACGAACTTTTTAGCTCGCCTATTCACTTACCTACTTTAAATTCAATATTTTTGCAGATTGCACACCCTTTTTCCCCATACATTTTGATTTCTACTCTCTCTGTAGACAATCGCTAATGTGGTGTTTGGCTAAAGGCACTGAAGTCTAATTACAAATGTACATATCCTACTCATATTGAATTACACAAACCATTCCTA